CCATCTCCTACTCTTTCTTCTCATCTCTCCTTTCTCCATCTCCTTCTATTTCTCTCTCATCTCTTTCTTTCCTTTCATACGCCTCACTTATTCGAGCCAATTCCAGTGATAGTCCGGTGGGTTTTCGAGCCAGTTCGAGCCAAGACCCTCATTGGTGCTCGTGGATTTTTGAGCCAATTCGTGTGGGTTTCAATGGTGGTAGTCCGGTGGTGGTGCGTGTGGGTTTTTATGGTCGAATTCGACAATAAAAACTCTAGATCTAGAGTTTTTATGGTCAAATTTGACCCGTAAACCCAAATTTAAAGCCAATTTCGATATTTTGGTGGAATTCAAGGTATTTCAATTTTTTTTTAATCTTTTATTTTTTTTCAGTTTTTTTTAATTTTATTGTGATGTGTGGTTGAATTGGTTTGTTTCAGGTCGATCTGTTGTTGGTGGGTGTCGTAGTGGGTTGTGGTGGGTGGTGGTGCTGGCGGTTTTCTGGTGTTAGTTTGGGTCGTTGTGGGTGGTGGTGCTGGCCGGTGTTCTGGTATTGGTGGGGCCGGGGTCGTGGTGGGCCGATGGTGTTGATGGTCATGGCTGGTGGTACGGTGGAACTAACATGGATTTTTTTTTTTAATAGAGCTGATTTTATTATTTGTATTAGTAGTATTAATTTTATTACTTGTATTAATTTTTTTTGATGTAAATGTAATATTACAACAAACAATTAATAAAAATATTAATGTTCTTACACATGTTTGGTTTGTGTATCAATTTATGTGAAAAACCCAAAAAAGATTTTTTTTGAAATTTTTTATACCCATAATGGGCAGCAGTTTGGCGCCAAAACCGCTGCCCTTTCTCTAGTAATGAAAACCCCCTAAGCCTATGCGGTTCAAAACCACTTGCCATTAGGGGGTTTGAACCGCTTGCCATTACGTTTTTCTACCACTGCCTGTTCGTCTATTTTGATGTGGCGTCAACCTGTCCGTCTTCCCTTCCGTTTAAAATAACGGAAGAACGTTTTTTACCTATTCGAATTCTTCGTTAGCTTTTTCAAAAAGTAAACGTTTGAATTTTTAGGCGAGAAAGGTAAATTTACCATTTTGCCCCCATAAATTTGCTTATAAATATGGGGTGTTTGACTTCATTTTCTTACTTTGGAACTTTGAGATTTTTAGAGAGAAGTTAGAGCTTTTAAAGAGAGAAAGTGACTTCTTCCCTGAATCGTCAAGAGCTCCACCGTACGATTGAACTTTCCGAATCACAAAGTTTGAGTTTTCCGGCCAACTTCCAAGACTTTCAAGGATTTCAAGAGTTTTCTACACGTACAGATGTAGGATGGCTGTTCTTCTTACTTCTCTCTTTTTTATTTGCCTTAGTTTTTCTTTTTGTTTAAACCTGGCTCAACACTCGGCTTCGTTTGTTTCTCCTCATGAGGTCGGTTGTTCGCCTGGGACTGAGGAGTCTAGAGCGGACGGACACGAGATGTCTCCTACATGGAGTGGGTCCATTTCTAGTATGTACCAACTCTCATCCACCTACTCTTCTCTATCCCTGATGAGTATCATTTATGACACTCTTAGGCTAGGTTTTCTCTATTGTTTTATTCTCGTTTTTAGTCTTTTATGTCGTGTTTTTAGGGAGTAATGCTTGATTTGCGTGTTTGTGTGTTAGTCTAGAGAAATATATGCTTTTATTAGTTTTCTTGTCATTTTGTTCATTTCTCGACTATTTCTCTCGCTTCTTTGCTTCCTTGACTTGTTTGGTAGGTGTGTTGAGTTTCCTGAGGTTTGATCACCAAAGAGAAATTTCGAGCGCATTCAAGTGGGTTGATGGAGTTAAGTCCGGTATTTCAAGTATGCAATTCAAGCTAGCTCCACAAACTCGAGGTCCTTAGAAGCAATGCTTTGGCTTGAGGCGTTCAAGTGCTTGGAAGATAAGGGAGCTGCCCTTCTCATAAGCATCGCCTCGAGTACACCAATGATAGGGATGCTCGGGAGCGTGGAGTTTAATCGAGCAAGCAAAGGAGCCAAGGCCACGTGCACCAAGCAAGGGTGCGCGCGCGGCACAGGGGGTGCGTGCGCGCAGACTAAGCTGTGCACGCGCGCGGCTTGGGTGGTGCGTACGCACAACCCTTTCCAGCCCCCTTCGCTTGTTTTTTCTATTTATAGCTTTTGACTTTCTTTTTTTGGGACGACTTAATTTTTGTACTTGAGAATTAATTTTCCAGAAATAGTAGAGAGAGAAAGTAGAGAGAAGCTTAAGGTTTACATGATTTGTACTTAAATTTGGTCTTAGATTTCAATTGGATCTTGGAATCCCTTCTTCAATTCAATGAAAATTTGTGAGAATTCTTTCCTTTGATTTACTTTCATTGAAATTTCTTCTAGTTTCTTGGATTTTGATTTGGATTACATTCTTTGCTCTAGAATTTGTTGATTGATTGATTTTCTTTTTGATTAAGCTTGAAATGAATATGATTGTGATAAAAAAAAATTTGCTTCTCAATTTCACCATGATTAGTGAGTAGATTAGTTGCTAGAAAGAAGGGGAAGCATGCTTGATTGATGATTTTTGCTAGTTGATGATCCTAAATTGATTGAATTGTTGCAATTAAATTGGTTGACAAAGTTGTGCATGTGATTAATTAGAATAGGAGTGATCAACCTATAAGATTAATCTAGATTGCATTGCAAATTTCAATGACATGAACCCTTGATTTGAGAATTGCTTTAATTGATTGAATTTGATTGTGATTTTTCCTTGTTAGCCATTCATAGTGAACCCTAACTTGGCTTATAGGAGATAGCTTTTGAATTCCTTTGATTACAACTATTGTTTGTCCTTTTTGATGTTTTAATCAATTGAGTGATCTATCAATTAGCATAATCATTGAGCTTTCATGTGGAACCTATATCCCGGCCTAGTGCTTAGCATATTGTATTTCTCGATTTGTCTAGTTTCTTGATACCTTAGTTACCAACCATAACCATCTACATTCTTCGAACTAGCTTGACATAGGCTATAGCTTGCACCTACTCATTCCTTTGGGTTCGACCCTTGACTTACCATATACTCATATTAGGTTGGTTGAGTGTTTACAAATTTAGTTTGGCTCTAGGAAAGAGTAGATAACGACTTACATTTTCCTGTTGTCAATCCCTGCAATCGAAAATGGCCCGGACGAGACAGACGTATGACAATTACGCCGAAAGAAACCCAAACGGCAGTCTGGTAAACCATAGAGTCCCCCTCAATCAAAATAACACGGCCCGGGAGACAACCACCACCACAAACACAAACACTAACACTGCCACGGTTATTGGCAACGAATGTTTGACTATTGAAGTGATTGTCTCATTCAAGGAACGCCAGAGGCAAGGCATTCCCTTAGGCAGGGAAGCGTCCGAACATGCTCCTAGCCTCCGCTTTCCCCAATTTGCCAACTCGTCAAAGACCCGACCGAGTTGCAATCTCTGAATGAACCTCCTTCCTCTTCTCTGGCGGACATTGGTACGTCTGCTCGAATTTTGGAACAACCGCTTCCACAATCTACCAGGTCAGCCGGACCTATAACTGGCATTGTAATTTCTAAATCGGCCGACCTGCCATCTCGTAGCGCTCCTCCTCCTGGAAATCAGGCGGACACCAGGAGGAAGGATAAGGGAAAAGGGCCCTTAATTCGGAGGGAGTTTCTATCTCTGAAGGCGGCCGAGGATCTAAAACTAGGAGTTGGGTCGAGGCTACTGCACTAGACACCGTGCTTTCCTCAGAATTTGGGGTCGTCCCCACCCCGATGAAGGGGAGGAAAAAAACCAAGGAGTGGAGAACCCAGATGCCGAGGAGGCTGATGAGGAGGCCAATGCGGACAATTTTAAGGATTTGTATGCATGTCCGATTAGAGACACGGCCTTAGGCTTTCTTAATGATGGCCTGGAGGAGTGCAAGAACTTCTTATAATGGGGGAAGGTTATGAGATCAAGGCCCCTAAGCTCTCCCATTCTGTGGCCGCCTAAGAGGATGAGCGGCCGTGTAGGTACGCCTTCAGCGTGTACCGCGCTTCCTCCGAGGTGGGACTCCGCTTCCCCCTTCATCCATTCGTCTAGGAGCTCTTGGATGAGTACAACATTGCCCTTTTTTAGCTGATGCTGAACAACTGGTTGAACATCTTCGGGTACTTGTGATGTGCATTAGGCAAGGCTTCAAGCCAGACGTCCCAGTTTTCTATGAGATGCATTCCATGGTCCTCTTGGACAAAGGGACAAATGTTTAGTTTATCTTAGGCACCACCAAGGACTACATGGTGGTAATGGGCCAAATGTTTAAATGGCGAGACTGGAAGAACAAATTCTACCGCATTAAGACTAAGGACATAGAATTGAACTTGTGGATGAATAGGTTTAATGCTGCCCCCATTCAGCTTGGCCAAGGGAAAAATCGTCCGTACAAACCACCCGTCCATCCGGACTATGCATACCAACTTGAATATTTTAGAGTCAAGAGGGTAATCAGGGGCGGCAAATTGGTGGATGTGCCTAAAAACTGGATTCCCCTGTCTAGCTGGCTCAGGGATTATATTCCCATACTGCAATATTCCCCAAGGTGGAGACTTGTACCTTAGCCAATTATGAGTAAATTATATCAAAAATTTCTCTAACTCTTTTTCCTTTTTCTTGCACAGACGAAGCTCTAACTATGATGGACCCAGAGCAAACAGGGGATGTTAACATGTACGAGCTTGAATTGGCTCGGTACAAAGCCCGTCAACAATTGTACAAACAGACCAGGGAGGTAATGGATATATATATATATATATATATATATATATATATATATATATATATATATATATATATATATAAAATCAAGATCATGTGAGAACCTAAGTCTATAATAAGAACTAGGAACTCATCTGGACCGTAGATCGCGCTGTATCTAACGGCTGAAGTTTCACCCATCTCAATAATGGCATTTTCGTAATTTTAGGCTCTGAATGACTTCTGTTCTAATTCTTGCACACGCTTCATTTTTTCTCTCTCTTCATTAGATTTTCTCTCTCTTCCTCCCAGTTCTCTAAAGATGCGATTTTTTTCTCCGTTCTTCTATTTCTTCGCTTTTCAATTTCTTTGCCTTTGCTCATCAATTTCTCGCGATAATCTATTAAGGTATGTAAATTTTGGGTTTAATTTTGAATTTTCTCGATTTTGAAACAAGTTTTTTGCGATTTTGAACACGAAATTAAGGTTTTTGCAATTTTAGGTTATGTGATTTTCGATTAGGAAAATTCAATTGACATGTTATGGACTTATGCTAGATTAGTATACTTTTTTTAGAATATTGATTAACTCATGTGAGAATTTAGAGAAGTTTGAATTTGAATTTTTGTTAGGACTGCCATGAATTTCAATACATGATTTTGTGTTAATGTTCATGTTAAAAATTCTGTAATTGAATCATTGTGAGATTATTTGCACTTGAATCCATGTGTAGTGTTCATGTTAATAACACTTCTACCGTTTCTTCTAGGCAATTGTTTGCATGCTAATTTTAAGATTTTATTTTTTAGTATCTTTTAATTTAGGTAAGTGTTGAATTATCTAACTATTCAGTAATTTCTATAAATTGTAGTATAATTTTTATTTGGGATTAAACTACAGCTTTAGATTGAGTATTACATGTTTGATGAAATGCTTGTAAAAAGAAAGACTATAATATGATGATGAGTTGGTGGAGTTTTGTTAGTAGGAGGTGTAAGGCTAGAAAAGGACAGTTGGTTTGACGGAAGGATGTCAAATTCTTTCCATTTGCATTTTGGTCACTCTAATTTTGATGCAGTTTGTCTTGGCTAAGTGGCTGCATTATTTACTCTAACCTTAGAGATGTTGAGGCTGATCTACAATTAATTTTGAGCATTTCTTTATTGTGTTATCAGTTATCCCGAAGAACTCCTTGTTTACAGAACTAGATTGAACTCCTTGCTAATAATTTTCTTAATTGTGTTATCATTTATCATTTGTTCCCATTTTTTAATTTGAGGGTGACAACATGATTAATATGTCCAACAACCGTGACTATCGTAGTACCAAGGACAAACCCTTCATGAGTCCCTTAACCTGATTAATGAGCCAAATTAATAAAGAGGTCATCATATTTTATTTACTTCATGTATAATTTTTGTTACTTTTATTTCAAAACCATTTACTTGACCTCTTATACTACTTATTTGGTTATTTTTGTTGATTGTAGATTAGATTATAATTTGGTCATATTGTTGTGTGATATAAGTCAATGACTCAGATGTTTTATGCGCAACATCGATTTGGATTCTTTTGGATTGTATACTATTGTTATTTGTATTATGCTCAATATTGATTTGGATATTTTAGATTGTATACTATTGTGATTTTTATACTCAGATGTTGTAAATGTTGCTCGACAGTTCTTAGAGTTGAGAGAAACGGGAAGCTAATGTGAGCAAGAGTGCAGCCTGTGCACCTTGTAAGCTTGTGAGGAGCAGCAGAAGCATGAGTAGCCCAAAGCAACAACATAGGCATAGTATAGTAGCAAGTACTGCAGCAGCTCTGCAAAAGGCCCCTAGGCTTTGGCATCAAGGCCTTGGACATGCAGCAGCAGAAACAACATGCATAGCAGCAGCACAAGCACTGGTTTGATGAGAGAGAGTGTGCAGCGAAAAGCCTAAATATGGTCGGAAGGAGATGCATTTTCTGTAATTAAGCTTTTATTATTTACTTTTGAGTATTTTTATTTACTTTTGTGATTTTTTAGTATAAAGAAAATAAAAATGATCGATTGTGTTAGCTAATTATTCTTACTCTATGATAGCCTACTAGCTCAATAGGTAGAGCATTGTGCAAGTGGACAAAAAATGTGGGTTCGAATACCATGTAGGTTTATGTGTGTATTCTGAAGATTAGAAGTCGTAATGTTTTATTAAATTTCTTCTTCTTTTTTTTTTGTTTATTTTGGATATAGTTTTATTTACTTTTAATTTGAAAACCTCTACATCATATCAAACTTATGACTCGTAGTTTTTGTGCAATAACAAAGTTTCCTTAGTTTTTCATCATTTTAAGGTAATTTATTATTCGTAGTTTCGTACACTTTAGACTTAATTTGATTAACTTCAATGATATGTTGATTTATTTTTTAGCATTATTTATTTACTTTAGATTCATTATGATTTACTTTTGACATATTATTCCCTACTTTTCATTATAGATATACCGTTTGATTTTTTAGTTACTTTTTCTATTGTTGTCTTTACTTTTAATTTGAAAACCTTTACATTCAGCCCCATATACTTCATACTCATAACTTGATTAGTTTTGTAAGGATAGGATATGAAAGTGAATAACTAATAAATTTGTGCAATTCCAAAGATCCCATAGTCATTACTCATCAATTGTTCGTATAGATCAGAGCTAATTTGACTTACTTTTTTTTATTATTATTTTGATTTACTTTTAAGGTATTTTGAATAACTTTAAGTGTTTTGTCCTTGGTGTAGACACCCAAATGTGTCTCCCCAAAAACCAAATCCAGTGATGAATACCTTTCACATCATTGATTATCGAACAAAGTGAAATGTGAAAAGTCTTGTGATGCGGTTGTTTTTGATAAAAATACTTCTTTTTGTTTTTGAAAATATTTCTTTTCATACTCTATTTATGGAAAATGTGCAGTCCAGTTTAGTTTGGTCCATGATAAGGGTCCAATAATGATGTGGTTGGATGGGGATTGAAAATACCTTTTCAACGATATATTATAAGCCCAATTTCGATGAATAATGAGGAAGTTATGGCCAAAATACTAATTTGGGCTCAAATCGGATTTTACCTATGACCCAATGATCATGTGGAGGGTCCAAAGATTTAATCTCATTCCTAAACTAATTAGGATTAATTAGAAGCTTCCATAAGTTTTTAACAGATCTTAATTATCCTTTTTGAAAAGATAAGATCATAGAATTTGAAATTGAATAAAAACTTTCCTTTTTTAAGTCCTAATTCTATTCGAATTTAAAGATGTTCAAAGACAATCAGATATTATTTTCGTGCGTCATAATCTTTATCCAACTTATATGGTTGGATAGATCTTGAAATTATATTTCCAATGATATATTATAATAAATGATATATTATAATATTAATTCCAAACTATAACGAAAAAGATATGAAAGAAATACAAAACTCTATCCAAAACTAACACCGTCTCACTATTTTGGCTATATCATTTTATCTAAAAAAGATTTTAATCTGGTTCTAATTTAGTTGGAAATTAGACTTCAAAATCTTTTCAACGACATATTATATGACTAATTTGGGCTTCTAGATAAAAAGATATGATAAATACAAAATACGCAAAAAACTATTCCAGCGACAAACGACAGAGTATGTTGCCTGGCGCTAGTTCCTGTCGCCTGGCGTTGGTCCCTGTCATCTGACGACAGGAGGTCTTTTATTCCAAATGGAACTCAATCTCTTTTTCTTTTGATTTTCGGACTATTGTTTCTATAAATAGGGTCCTTGGCCTCCGTTTTTAAATCACCCAGAATTCTCTAATTTTCTCTCAATAAAGCTAGAAGCTTATTCTCTCTCTATTCTTTTTCTAAACCTTCCCTCATACAAAATTCCACATTCACAAGTTCTAGACACACCTAGCAGTTTGAATTTGTGTTCGCCCAAGATGTGAAAGGTTGATCATTTCTGAGGGTTTGGTCCCAAATCTCTATTTCGATTATTTAATTTAATTGTTTGATTTATTATTTTCATTGAAGTTACTAACGCATGTATTTTGTTATTAGAAAGAGATACAAGGCATCCAAGTAAGTAATTTAATTACTTTAATTATTTTTTTGATATAGAAATCATGCTTTGGTTATTTTGATTCTCAGTATCATGTTAGGATGCTTTTATTGCTTCCTAGTATCATGCTTAGGGTAATAACTAAAATTTCTAATATCATGTATGTTTCTATGATGATTCCTATTCTTTCCTTCTATCATGTTATAGTTTAAGCTTTAATCTTTAATGTTTAGTGACATGCTAGGATTTGTTATTAATCTTATTAGTATCATGCCTAGGATCTTGCTAATATTATTATGCTTTGATGATGATTGTTATGATTATGTTGCTTATTATTATTGTTATTGCTTTATCACCCCTTGCATACATGTTTAAAGGGAATTTGTACTTGTAATCACGCTTAATAAGATAATTAATAATCTTGTTTAGGTTAATTTGATTATAATTCAAGTGATCACCAATGATAAATTTTCTTGTGCATTAACATTCAACCAACATAGATTAAACATGTTTAGGGTTAACCTATTGATTGTATGTTAGTCAGAAAGCACACATGAATATGAGAAGAATAAAGTAGAGGTCTATTTTTAGGGCAGGTTCAATCTCTTTTAGGTTGGATTTGTACCTTTATCCCCAAATATCCAGTCATAATTCCACACCACTATGGAGTTAGCGATCTCATGGATCGTGAAGGGGTGTAACCTTCACTCACCCTGTGAACAGTTTACAAGTTACTAAAACTTGTTGGCGACTCTTTTACTATAGCTTCTTTTCCTTTGGACGCCACCATGCTTAAGGGTATGATCACAGTGGGGCTCAAGTGTGGGATGCTTGAAATATTCCATACACTTGGTTATACGTTTTTGGTTTTTTTGATGTACGTTTTTGTTATTTGGATTTACTTTTAAGGTATTTTGAGTAACTTTAAGTTTTTTTCATCATTGGATGTAAAAAAATTATCCTTAGCTTGATATAGTCTATTTTTATACTGTATATACTTGAGCTATTTTGATTTACTTTTGAGATATTTTGGTTTACTTTTGAATTTTTTTATTTACTTTTAGAAACAACCTATGTAGGAATCGAACCTATATCTTCTATGCATTTTTGCATAGTGCTCTACCATTTGAGCTAATAGGTTTAAGTACACCCTGTGGTAATTCAAAGTATACTCAACAAAGGCCACACTAGGAATTAATTAATGAGACTTTAAAATTAATAGCAACTTTCTTATATATGATAATGATGTAAAAGTGAATTAGATCACTAGCAATACTACTAAGATGAGACAAATCTCATTTTTCTTATAATCACTAACAATAGTTGTTCCTTTCTGTATTTTGGTTAGGTTCTAACAAGAAAAACGATTGAGAAGAAATGAATATAATGTAGGGACAAGAAACTAAAGTGTAGAATGATAACTGAGGAAATCTTGGTTTTTTTTTATTTTTTTTTACAAAGGGAACACCAAAAAAACTAAAAAACAAAAGAAAGCAAATCTCTACGACGAGCATCTCCAGTAGGAAATGGGCCTCAGCAATCACCGATCTGGAGACTTTCTGAATCAGACAAGTAGAAAAGGCAGACAAGGACTCCCGAATCTCTTCTAGCACCCAAACCACATAGATATCTCTAGAACCAGAATCCAAAAGAGAAGTAGTGAGGAGCATACTATCAGTATACATTTGAAGATGAGTAACACCCATCCTAGAAGCATGCTTGAGGCCCCACAGACAAGCTAACAACTCGGAATGAAACGGAGAATTAGTAACAGTAGCCTTGGCCCCACCAGCAAAGGTTTGAGCAGAAATTGGATCTCGAAAAACCCAACCTGCACCTGGCGAATGAGTACCCCGATCCCAGGCACCGTCAAAGACAAGAGACACATACCAAGAATCGTGAAGAGAACCTCTAAGAACATGGAGCCCAAGAGGGATTGAAAATCCCGGAGGAGAAGACAATGGAGATAAACCAAATTTCCTAGCATCTTCACTGCGCTTACTGTAAGTAGAAGCCAAATCAAGCACAGTTTGAGGAGAATAGACCTCCGACCGAAAGCGAAAATTGTTCCTAGTCAGCCAAATAGCCCAACATAAACCAAAGAAATTGTCCAAACAACCCCAGTTCTTAACATCAGCCAAACTAGACACAAACTCAACAAACCAAATATAGAAAGGAGAAGCAGTCACCAGGTTAGGGAGAGAACTCCAAGCAACCTTACCCCAAATCATTTTAGTGAAAAGACAATCCCGGAATAAGTGTTCAACCGATTTCGGATCCCAACCACAAAGCACACACATTGGGTCGATAGGAAGGCCCTTAAGCCTAAGCAACGCAGCAGTAGGAATGGCATTATGTAAGATCTTCCAAGCAAACATCTTCTATTTTGGAAGAATAGGGAAACCCCATAATCGTTTCCACCAAGAAACGAGAAGCATAGCTGCCTAAAAAGGCAAATATTGAGAAAGAAGACACGTGTAGGCCGATTTAGTGGAAAATGAACCATCTCGAGTGTGCTTCCAATAAATATAATCATCCACTCTCTCTCTTGGCCTCTCCAAGCCCAAAATGGCCACAGCCACATGCGGGGGGAAGAGACGTCTAATCAAGGAAGAGTTCCACTGTAAAGACCTCGGAAGAAGTAAGTCCGACACCAAGGTAGGCCGCTCGGCCTCAAGAATAGACATTCGAAAAGTAATATCAACACCAGGAACCCAACAATCATTTAGAATATCAATAGCTGCACCCGAACCTACTTTCCAAGCAATGCCATTAGCCAGAACACTACCCGCCTCCAAGAGACCACGACTGCTCCAAGAAGGGCGAGCACAAAAGATACGACGCGGAGGAGAAAGAAGGTTGGGATATTTGGCTTTAAGTACCTTTGAAACTAGGAGCTGGGGATGAAGCATAAGCCTCCAAGACTGCTTAGCTAGTAAAGCCATATTGAAGGAGCGAAAATGTCGAATACCCAAACCCCCTAACCCTTTAGGAAGATGCAACGACGCTGAAGAAGATAAAGCAAGACCCCTTGAATCTTTATTAGATTGCCACCAAAATCGCGACAAGAGAGAATCCAGTCTGTCACAAATGGTAGCTGGCACCTTAAAAACCGAGAGGATATGATTGAAAGAGGCTACCAAGATAGAGTTAATGATAACCAATTTTGCAGTCGCTGAAAGATGGAGAGAGGCAAAAGAGGAAAGCCGTTGAACCACCTTGTTAATCATAAACTGGAAATCTTTACATTTACTACGACCCAAGTCAACTGGTAACCCCAAATAATCACCTATAGAAGGACATGCCTGCATTCTAAGGCTAGAAGCTAAATAATCCCTGTAATCATCCGGAGTATTAGCACTAAACCTAACATAAGATTTCTGCAAGTTTATCATCTGACCAGACACCGAACAAAGTTCATTTGTTACCACAAGAATCTGGTCACAGGCCGCTGGGGAAACCCGAAAAAACATTAAAGCATCATCTACAAAAAACAGATGGTAAACATACGGAGCACGACGCGAAATTCGAATACCCTGAAATAAACCGCTACGCTCGTCCCGCCGAAGCATCAGAGAAAAAATTTCCATACACAGAACAAAAAGATAGGGAGATAGGGGATCACCTTTACGTAAACCACACTTAGGATGAAAGGTTTTGGAAGGCGAACCATTAACCAGAATTCGATACGAAACTGTAGAAACACACTGATGTAAAATATGGACCCAGTAAGGAGGAAACCCAAACCGCCGAAGAGCTTCCCAAAAAAACTCCCAATTAACCCTATCATAAGCTTTATTCATATCTAATTTGAAGGCTGCAGAACAGACCTTCGAAGAAGAAGTGGTCATAAAAGAGAAAATTTCATGAGCCAGCAAACTATTATCAGCCATTAAACGGCCCTGGAACAAAGGCCGTTTGAGTTTTCGAAACCAAAGAGGGCAGAACCTTGCGGAGCTTATTAGTAAGGCATTTAGAAATGCATTTGTAAATCACATTGCATAAACCAATAGGGAGAAACTGAGAAGGCATTTCCGGGTTTTCCACTTTGGGAAGCAGAACCAAAAAAGTCTGATTCCATTCCTTTAATAAATACCCATGAGCAAAGAAATGTTGAACCGCATCTGTGATTTGAGGCCCAACTATAGTCCAGTGAGACTTAAAAAAGCCGGCTGTGAAACCATCAGGCCCAGGCGATTTATCACTACCAATGTGAAACATTGCATCCTTGATTTCAGCAGTAGAGAATGGAGTCAACAGAAACTGAGTGTCCAAGTCTGATAAAGTTGGGATATCCAGACTATCCCAAGAGCACTCAGCCGGCGAAGGAGAGGAGTTATGACAATTATAAATGACTAAAAAATGCTAGTGCAGAAGTGAAGTAAGCCTCGAATGATCCGAAATCCAAATACCATTGTCATTTTTCAGACTCATAATTTTATTTCTGCGACGCCGAATCTGGACTGATCTAAAAAGAAGGCGAGAATGAGACTCACCTAAAGCATCCCTTTTAGTCTTACACCGTTGTTTCCAATACAGAAACGATGTGTGAGCACGCGAAACTTTGTCCTCCTGGAGCATAAGGAAAGAGCTACGATCAGAAGCCTCCCTCAAGTCAAGGGAATTAGTGTCCACCAGATTCTGCATATCCTGCCAGTCAATACCCCATTGCCTCTTGTGAGAAACACACCAAGCCAAGAGATTACGTTTTAAATCTTCCAATTTCCTCAAAACAGAAAACATTTGGGAACTAGGGTAGATATCCCTCCATTTCGAACGGACCATTGAAACAATTTCATTCAAACCCAGGCACCAATTCTCAATCTTATAAGGTCGTCTCTTTGGACCTACCATCCCTAATTCCCGAAGAATTATAGCCGCATGATCAGAATATAAGATCGACTGATGAGAAATAGAAGCATCTGGATGAGAGTCAAACCAGGAAGAGGTAGCAAAACCCTTATCCAATCTTTCATAAGTAGGTTTTTGAATTTGGCCATTAGTCTAAGTGAAACGGGGTCCCGAAAAAGGAATATCAATTAATTGGGAGCTAAGTTTCCAATCCACAAACAAATGGCAACCTGGAATATCCCTAGCACCCCCTATTTTGTCATTTAGGTATTCGACTTGATTAAAATCACCTAGAAGGACCACATTTGGAACAGTTTGCAAAATAGTAGATATTTCATCCCAAATTAACTATCTAAAGGAAAGATGAGGCGATCCGTACACAAATATAATATATTTTATTTCTTGTCCTGGAACCAACACCTCACAAAAAACAACATTAGGACATATAGAGATAGGCCTAACTACCACCGGGGTAAACTAAAAAACTACCAAACCCCCACTAAGGCCTATAACATCCGAACCACAAAACCCGTCAAACCCAACTAACGCTAACTTTTTAACAGCCACATCTACAGAGACAAAGGTTTCCATTAGAAACATAATATCTACAGCAAAAGAGAAGACTAACGAAGCCACATATGGAACCTTAGGGGAGTCCGCAGCACCAAGCCCCCTGCAGTTCCAGGCAGCCACATTCACGGCTGCTTTGGTGGCTCAGTCCGGGGAGCCACCTTACCCTCAGCACCACCTTGCACAAAACCCGAGCTAGCCAATCTGTCATCACACCTACGCTTCTTGAAAGGCTTCAGAAAGGACATAAACACTGAACCAGCATCTGAAACTTGAGAACGTTGAATCGGATCATGTGGAGAAGCTGACCTGCGTTTACAAGGACAGGCTTCCTTTACCCAATTCCATACTTGATCCCCCTTCCTAGCCAATTTCAAAGTCAACAACTTTTTTCCTTTTATTTTTTCACGAATTTTCATGTCAGGGGAAGTTGCTGAAGGAGTAACAGGGGACGGGAATATTTCCTTAGCCCAATTCCAAATTATATCTTTATTACAAGCCATCTTAAGGAAAGGAGGTTTTGGTCGCTTGAAAGGATGAAATCGTTTATGTAACCTCAAGGATCGGGGAGATGGAGTAAATTGACTAGGCTTGGAAGATAGTATTGGAAAGGAGCTATGACAATGCTGCTTCTTTTTTGGATCGTGTAGGGGTTTTTTATGGAATGAGAAAGTGGATTGGGTTGGTGTTTGTCTCGGATCATTTGGAACAAGGTTAATGTGTGTACTAGGTTATGATTGGGATTTCCTCTTTTTCAAAGGTGAGAGGGATGGAGTAACGAACACAGGGGGGGGGGGGTCTTTTGTTGGATTTAATGTTCTGGGGTTGGTATGGGTTGATACCTTTGAAAAGACTCCTGAATTTACTATAGATGTTCCAAAATTTTCAGTTCTCTTTAAACCAATATTCATATTTGAGAGATTATGAGCAGGCAAAGAAGCAGACACACACATCCCACTCTTATCAACAAGAAAAGGAGCAGCCATACAAGAATTCTGCTTATGGCCAATATTATTACACCTAGAGCACAAAATAAACAAATTCTCATATCTGAAATTAATCCACTTACACTCTGAATGTCCAAGGTCCAAGTAAAAACCAGAAAATAACGGCTCCAAAACATGAAATTGAATTTTTACTCTAACCAAACAGCTTATTGATCCTGGAAGGGGTTCATCAATACTCAGAATGTTTCCAACCAGATTAAGCATAGGATTAACGAAGTTAATATCACATAAGTCCAGGGGTACCTCATCTAGATAAACCCAAATAGCAGCCCTGTCAAATTTTATATCTCTGATTGACTCACCTTTATTCCAAGATTTAAATATTAGAAGAGCACCTTGATATGCGTCTCTATCGCGGACATCCTCACAAAGAAACAGAAAAAGGCAATCGAACTTTTGGACTTTAATTTCCCCAAATTTAATCCACTGGTTTACTACCCACTTATGAATTCGGGCCTCTGAGAAATTTCTGTAGTCTATAAACTTACCAAGAACAACATGATGGTGAAAACAAGGGTTATCACTTGAGGTTGTGCGTCTCCGGCTCGGATGAGCGACATAATTAAATCCAGCCATCGCAATTGAAACAGGGGAAATAAATTAGGGATTTTTTTTTAAAAAAAATTTTAATGAAAAGGGTCACGAACTCACGAAGAGAACAAGAAATTTGAAGTTTAAAGCAGTATTAATGAACTATACTCTTTTCTTGGCTTTTGCCTGTAGTATTTGAGGTAGGTGGATGCCGTTGGAAGAAGGTTGAAGAAGAGGCTCTAGTTTTCCTAGAGAGATAAGCTCTCTTTTAAGAGAGAGAAAGTTCTATCTTGAAATCTTGGCTTTGATATATAAGGGTTATGGTATCTTACAAATAAAACAGTCACGCATCATCACCTAAAACACTACCTAAACAATCACACTCTCTCTTACATACAACAACCCATTTATAGGCAAAC